CACAAGACGCACATATACACGCACACACAGAAATTGAATGTGGTCCATAATAAAGCCCATTAATGGGCTTTTAGTAGCAAGGTCTGAGTCTCACCACTCAAAATGTATAGGATAAAAAAGTTCACTTGAATGTAGAATTTTGCTTTGTAGTAACAATTAGAAATAAGTTGCAAGTCAAGATAAATGAGAGATGCCTCCTCTTTTCACTTCTATATTATTTCTTTTCCCACTTTTTTTAGGTACAAGATGGGAGGTCATGTGGTCAAAAAAGGTCAATAGATTGAACGCAATATTATTACTAGTTACTAAAACATTTTCCACTAGTTGCATGAATGACAAGTTGAAGCTACTTTAGTATCTATTACTACTATTTATTACTATATTGTAATTATTATTATTATCATCCTTTGAAAAAGTATCTATATCATAGTCTAATAAACTTGTGTTTCAACGACTACTCCGTGCATCATCATTCTTGTATCAATCCTATCAAAATCCATTATATTCTATTACTATATACTAAAGAGTTGCCTTTAGTTGTACGAATGACATGCTGCAGCTGCTTTTGTATTTATTATTATTTCTTTTGGAAAGAATACCTAACTTATCTATTATGTTTCAACTTCCTTAAGTGATGCATTATCATATATGTATCCATCCATTCAAATATCAATAATTGTCTTATTTATATATCATTTTACATTTTCCTTCCTCTTCCCTCATTACCAAACCTCCATCTCTCTCGAATTCTCGCACACTGCACGAATGAAAAACTAGTCTAGAACTAAACACTAGTGAAAGAGCATCATGATCAATGTTTGAAACAACTTTTTAGAAACTCACTTCACAACTTTTTGAAAGGGTAAACACTTCGAAACTCAAGAGTGAAGCTATTTATCCTTGAAGCTTATGTCTCACGCTTAAAGCAAAATTGAAGTGCGCACTTCATGCTTCATAAAATATTTTTCTTTTTAAGTGCACAATTTAGACAATATTGAAAGATATAAATTCTTTTTCTAACATTAAAATGTATTTACAATATGATCATGTGAGTGTATATAAAATATATATGTTATGTATGTAGCTTAGTTTATTATGATTCATTTCTATACGACATATATTTAATTCATATTTACTAATCAATACATGAACGTATATACTTGTAAATTATTATAACACTATATATTATATGTTCATAATTTTTTATAAATTTAAAATTAAAATACTTAAACTCATGGAGCTCACGTCTCATGCTTTGAAGCTTACGCCCATTGTTTTAAAATTTAAATATCCTCGACATGGACCAATAAATCCCCCAATATATCCTTTTACAATGCTTACCACAACTGATATGGTCTCTAAATATCCTTTATCGTTTTTTGGGTATTCTGGGCAATATATGCCGATATGGCTAATATATCAGCCAACATGTTAGTCAATATATCCTTTTACATGGCTTGTCGCAAAACAATATAGCATGTTTTGCAATTTTTGGATGAGATCATGATCTTCCCATTATATCAAATGACATTTTGGCCTAAAAAATCAGATGAAAAATTGCAACGATGATTTGTACTTTTGTGATTTGTCCTTCTCTTTGTTTTATAAGGTTGATTATTGAATCTTAATATATATTATTTATATTTTATATGCTTAGATTTCTGTAAATATGTTGAGATTATATTTTAGTGCATTATACTTTATATGCAAACATCTGTTATGACATTCTAATATTTACCCTTTATCCCCGATATATCCCCAATATCCGCAATCCAATATGAATTTTGGTCATTCAATATTTTTCCGATTTTCGATATTTAAAACCTTGCTTACGCCTCACTTCATCAAAGTGTCCAGCACTTCGTCTTGTGCTTAGTGTTGTGCTTTCGGTTTTTTAAACATTGATCATGATTGCACTCCTTCCGAGTGCCTCACATGGTCAAGGGGATTTCTCTTCCTTTCAAAGGCATTTTAATCACCCGTAAAAGCAAAGTGTATGTAGATTTTTTTAAAGGACTAAAGGAGTTAATTAACCAATAGTCAAGTTGAAAAAATTATCTAGAGAATGTGCTACTATTAAAAAACATACATTAAATTGTTGTTAAGAACTAGTGTTAGCTTGATATACATTTTTACCCCACAAGCCAACAACTTCAACTTTTGGGTAAGTGGTTCTTGACATGATATAAGAGATTCAAAATTCAGGTTTCAAGAGATATAATTGCCCCACAAGCCAACAACTTCAACTTTTGGGTAAGTGGTTCTTGACATGATATAAGAGATTCGAAATACAGGTTTCAAGAGATCTTCGTTCAAATCTCATTGTTATCACATTTAAGATATGTTTCTTCACCCTTGTGTTATTCCTTTCTATATGGCCAACAAGATCTCACATGTGAGATCTATCCACATGCCAACAAAGTCCCAC